AGCTTACTGCTTACCTACAATTTCAAGTCCAATGTACGTAGAAAGGTCTACTACAAGGAACCCTTAAAGTATTACTAAAGACAATTTATTTTTTCATTTTGGATTTGGATAGGGTGATGAGGGGTTGAGCCTGTATCAGGTATTCATTGATGTGTCCCCGTTAGGGAGAGTCACTATATTTGTCCTGATCACCAATGTCTTAGGAATAAAATTGCACCCAGAACACAAATAGAGAGGAAATCTTTCAACAGGCACACTTGTACCTGTGACAATGATCAGAGAGGATGTTCCACACTGGAAAGATAACCTCTGACTTTCCACTGAATCCACATTACAGAAAGTGAAGGAAACTCTCTCTAAAGAGACACAAATGAAAAAAGTAAAACTGACAGTAGTTTTAACCTTTACCTACTCTTGAAAGGGTGAAATAAAGGAATTTCTACTTACCTGTAAATACTATATCTTGGTGTAGATTGGTTATTCATAGATCTTGGGGTTATAGGCTGGTACTTTCAGGTGATTGGACACTACCAAAGCTTTTAAGACACCACCCCTGCGTGTCTACCTCTAACCCTATCCCACTCCATGAGTCCTTTGTTTTGTAGCAAGCAAAGCAGAGTAACACAGGAATATAGGGAGGGTGTACTATACACAAAGATATAAAATTTACAGGTAAATAAAAAACCTCATATCTTAATAGTACAGTACAGAATAAAGACTAGATATTCATAGACCCTGGGATGGCCCTAAGCACTGAAGGGTGGACAACAACTAAGCAAACAGAACTGTGCCAACAGGCCCAACAGGAAGGACAGTTTTAGAGTGCTGCTGCAAGAACCTTGTGGCCAAAAGCTGCATCTACAGAAGATTGGATGTCTACCTGGAAGAACTTTGATAAGGTATGAACAGAAGACCAGGTGGTGGTCTTACAAAGCTGAGCAACAGAGGCTTGATGTCAAAATGCTCAGGAAACTTCAGCTGATCTGGTGGTGTAAGCACGTAATAGTGCAGAAGGAAATTTGTCTTATCCTACCTAGCAATGGTAGAATTTGAAGCAGGATGTCCTTTGTGAGGTCCTGATGGCAAACAGGGAGTCCATCTTCCTGATAAGAGGCTGTGTCTTTGAGGTAGACTCTCATGGCTCTTACTATGTCCAGGCAGTGAAGAGCAATTTCTTTTGTGTGCTTTGGAGTAGGGCACAAAGAGGGCAGAACTATGGCTTTAATAAAGGTAGAAGATTGATACCACATTTGGAAGAAAGGATGGCTCCTTACAAGAGAGGTCCACCAGCCCAGGAACACATCTTACAGACATGGCAGCAACTAAGCTTACTTCTCAGGAGATACCATCTAAAAGGATTTCCCCAATGGGTTCAAAGGGTGGTTTCTGCAGAGCATAAATAGCCAGTTTAAGGTTTCAAGGAAGCACAGGGTGCTGTGAAGGGGGCCTCATGTGAGATATACCATGAATAAAGGTTTTGACAAAAGACAGCAAGTCCAAAGGTTTTTGGAAAAGAATGGACAAGGTCAAAATATGTCCTGTTAAAGTGCTTCAGGCTAAGTTCTGGTCAAGTCCCGACTGCAGGAAGAAATGTGACGCAGAGTAATCTCTTGCACTGAAGTGTCTCTGTTCACAAAGGCAAAGATTTCCAGGTAAGATAACATGTCTTCCTGAAAGTGGCTTTTCTTGCTTTTAGCAAAATAGGAAAGACAGACACAGAAACACTTCTGTCTCAAAAACCTGGGTTTCAACAGCCATGTTCTTAAAGCCAGTAACGCGAGGGTAGAATGGAAAATTGGTCCCGCTCATGCTCAGAAACGTGTTGCATCCTGATGATGTCAGACACCCAACTCTACTAGCTCCGGACACATTAGAGATGCAGCTATGTGTCATCATCCATGCCTTACTTGGTACAGTGCCTCCTGCTGACCGATCAGGATTCACTCCTCTCCGGAACAGCCTTTTACATCTGGCGACAGACATACTACCTACATCCCTGTTTTTGCTGTTCAAGATGTGAATTGTTAAGCTTGGCTTCATAATACATTTGTTACAGTTTACACTTAGAGGCGCTGTGTCCTTTGTTTTTTTTTTTAAATAGGAAAATTGGGCCTAAGACAGCAAGTCTTGCCTTTTGGGAAAAGGCCAGGGGTCATATCCTACAAGGTTTTTCTGGGTCAATTTGGTGCAATGGGGATAAACAGTTTCTTCTCTTGCTCTATTTTGTGAAGCAGATGGAGGTAGAATTCACACTGGAGGAAAAGCATAGAGATAACTTGTTGAAACTGGAGACCAGTATATTCATGTTCGGCGTCCTCATTTGACATTTTAGGTTTAAGATGTCTGGGTGAAGGGCCCATTCACCTACAGACGTTAATGGCTGAGATAATCCGCCTTCTAATTTTCCACTCCTGGGTTTAGGAAAGCAGAGATTGCTGGTCAGTGTTCCTCCATGAGATGACCTGGATTGCTTCCTTCAAGGCTGCAGGACTCCTGGTTCCCCCTTTGTTGATTGATGTAGGCCACAGTCGATTGCACCGTGATTTTGTGTTCTTGCAGAAGGGGGGTCCAGTGGTGCACAGTCATCCATATTGCTTTGAGCTCCAAGATGTTGATTGGAAGCTTAGCTACCTTCTGGTGACCATGTTCCTTGAACTATGAGGGATTTGAATTCTTATCCCCAGCCCAAAAGGAATCTGTCATTATGACCTTCCAGTGTCATGGCAGAAAGAACTTCCCTATTGCCAAGGCTGGGTTGAAAATCCACCAGATTTTTTCAGGGGTGCCTTGGCAAAATGCCTAAAAATCACCTAAACAATGTACAAAACCCTGCAGGTGGATCAAGCCTGTGTTTTAGTTACACAAAGTCATAGGTTTTCATTGTGCACTAATATCCAGGGACTTCATTGCTTGACAAGAAGGGCATCAGGCCCCTGCACAGCATCTTTGTTTGTCCCTTCCCCACCCTTCTCCATGAGCACAGGGTCACATTAGCTAAGTGAGGGAGAGAAACAGTGCAATACTAGTCCGTTCCAGTATGCAAAGGTGTATTTGTTTTGGGAGAATAAGTAATGTTGGGTGCCCTACATGTGTGGATATTGCTACGTTATGTAAAACTATTTGTTTAGTTTTATTATACTTTAGAATGGGGTGCCTTGAGATTGTGCAGAATTTTAAAGGGTGCCTTGACTGCAAAAAGGTTGAGAAACACTGCTCTAGAGGTAGTGGGACAACTACTCCCTGGTTCGTTTCAAAGAAGAAAATGGTGGGGGGCTAGAGTTTAGAACTTTATTTTGTCTGCCTTTGAAAGTACTGATTGAACCCACAAGTCTGGAATGTCTGTAACCCAGAGATAGGCAAACAGTAACAGATGTTCCACCACTTTTAGGAGCTTAGGGGAGGACTTGGTGGATCTTGCATTGAAAGGAAGGGCTGAACTTGGGCTTAAAAGCTGAAGTATGAGTAGGATGTTGAGGTTCTATGTGTTGTTAGGTGGTAAAAGCTTCTGAGGAGAGTGGTTTTGGAACTTTCTGCTGTGGAAGAAGAAACTTCTCTTCTGTGACATCTTTTATGAATTTGTCAAGTACTTCACCAAAGAGACAAGTCTCCTTTAAAGGCCATATATGCAAGTTTTTACAGGCAGCTAAAGAAGACCATTCTTGGCCCCAAAGATTCTTGCTAATGGTCTTGTGAACAGTAATCAGAATAATTCTGGAAGACTGGAATGGCAGGATCTATTACCAGAAAGGACCACTTTTTTGTGAACTCCCTTTTCACTGGATAGAGCTCGGCAATGATTTTTGAAAGGGTAAAAATCTTTTCTGAATTGACCCAATCTTGGCAAGTTGCCCAATTTATTTGCTTAATAACAGGAAACATCTGTTTAGAGATTAGCCATTCTCTTTGTCCCTAAAGGAGCAGGACAAGATGGAAAGATTAAAGTGTGTCAGGCTTTTGTGCATAAGTAGCATTCCAACATTGGCAAGCATATTGCGTGAAGCTAAAAACATCAGGTGAATAGGAGCCTGGGGGGAGGGACAAGGTATTGTCCATGGCTTCCTTCAACACTGCCTTTGGGTCCTCTTCATTCAATTCTAGGTCTACCTCTTCTAGGACAGGCATATTGAATTCCGACTCAGCTAGAGATGCTGGAGCTAGAGAAGGCGCTTGGCGTTTTTGAGCATTGGACAGCGATGGCAGCATTAAAAACGTTCGTTATCTAATAAACTGTTACAGACAATTGTGGCTAGAGCTAGAATCAGATGCAGAAACCAGTATTAAGATTGCGTTCTGCTCCAAGGCAAGGGAAAAATTGTCACTATGAGACAGTTATGCGCTGGCCTTCGGTAGTGCAAATGCTTGCCTGCACTCTTGACTGTTTCCTTTTGCACGGTTTCCATCATTGCTGTGGGTGAGGGTAGTCGTCTGTGGGGTACTCACAGAGAAGGGTGCAAAAATGGCAAAAGCATTTCTCTAGAAGGAAAAGGCAGAAACCCTCATTGTGAGTGTCCGTGAATGAAGTCCCCAAGGCAAAAAGGATGGAGGAAGCAGCTGAGTAGCTCTAAGCAGAAGTGGCAGTAAAGTGTGTGACTGAACATCTGGTCATCCACCTGAGACTAAGCTCTAAGGGCTTAAATTTTAGCGCCAAGTTTATAAAGTTTACTTTTTGAAGGTAATAATACATTTGAATCAGTCCCAGTTTTGTGATAGTTTTTTAACCTATGAAAACATACTATTCAGGATTTTGGGGCTGTAGTAACCATTCAATAAACAGGGTGACCCTGTTTTACCTGTCCCTGATCCCTATATAAAGGGTCCAAGCTTTTGACTTGTGGTTGGCATACAAGGGTCTTCAGCATTTGTGTTCCATATTGATGGAGAACAGCCCTAGACCTGTATAGCAACTTGCGGCTAACTACATGCATTCCATGCGCTGAGGTAAGCACCCCACGAAATACTGCTACAGGGCAGCACAGGTGAGCAAAATCACGTATATATACATGATTTTGCATGTCTGGGTGGGGGGCGCTCGTGCGAGCCCTACCTACACCACCATTCACAGCTGTGGCTGTCAATCCCCGGGTCCCAGCCGATGATTACTTGCTGGCACCCAGTGATTGCCGAGGATCTCCGAAGGGGAGGAGAACTGTTTTGTCAGAAAAACGGTCAGCTCGTACACACTGCTCTGCATGGCTGTGCACAGCACAGCCATACAAAGCAGTGTGCTTACAGTGAAGCACAAACACACGGCCCCATAGTAGAACACACCCAGCACAGTTAACCCTTTGATCAACCCTCATGTTAACCCCTTCCTGCCCAGTGTCATTAGTACAGTGTCAGGTTTTTTTTTTAGCACTGATCACTGTATTGGTGTCACTGGGGATGTCAATGACACCAAGTCAGGTCCCCCCAGTGTCAGAATGCCCGCCACAGTACCGCAGTTCATTATAAGTTGTTGATCGCCGCCATGTTGATCGCAAGTTTAAAAAAAAAAAAAATTCAAGTATATATACCGCCATTTGTAAACGCTATAAACGTTCATGTAAACCAAATAATTTACACATATTGGGATTTTTTTTTTTTTTTTTTAGCAAAGACATGTAGCAGAATACATATTGGCCTAAATTTATGACAAAATTTTTTTTTTGGATATGTTTAATAGCAAAAAGTAAAAATATTGTTTTTTTCTCAAAATTGTTGGGCTTTTTTTTTTTTTTATAGCGTCAAAAATAAAAAACGTACAGGCGATCAAATACCACCAAAAGAAAGCTCAATTTGTGGGAAAAAAAGGACGTAAATTTAATTTGGGTGCAGAATTGCATGACCGCGCAATTGTCAGTTAAAATAACGCAGCGCCGTAACACAAAAAATAGCCTGGTCAAGAAGGGGGGTAAATCCTCAGGAGTGCAAGTGGTTAAAGTGGAACTTTAATACTGTTAAATCATTTCACGCTGACCCCTTTTGCAGGTATAGCTATGTAAAACATTAGAAATGAGTGCCTGTACGGATTTCCACCATTATATATATATATATATATATATATATATATATATATATATATATATATATATATATATATAGCCAGTGTATACATACCATCTTTTGTAGACGCTTTAAAACTTTCACAAAAAAAATAATCAATATACACTTTTTTTTCACACAGTGATGATCAAATACCACCAAAAGAAGCTGTGCGAAAATAATTATATAAATTAATTTTGGGCATAGTGTTGTATGACCGTGCATTTGGCAGTTAAAGTAGCGCTATGTCGAAGAGCAAAAAATGCCCTGGTCATGAAAGGGGTAAAACCCTCCAGAGTTGAAGTGGTTAAAGCTGTATTAAACCCAAAAACTAAAACAAAACGTATTACAGTACATCCAGAAAGCATTCACAGCACTTAACTTTTGCCACATTTTATGTTACAGCCTTATTCCAAAATGGATTACATTCATTTTTTTCCTCAACATTCTACAAACAATACCCCATACTGACAGCGTGAAAGAAGTTTGTTTTGAAATATTTGCAATTTATTAAAAAAAAAAAAAAAACCCCACATGTACACAAGTATTCACAGCCTTTGCCATGACACTCAAAATTGAGCTCTGGTGCATCCTGTTCCCACTGATCATCCTTGAGATGTTTCCACAACTTGATTGGAGTCCACCTTTGGGAAATTCCGTTGATTGGACATGATTAGGAAAGGCAAAAACCTGTCTATATAAGGTCCCACAGATAACAGTGCATGTCAGAGCACAAACCAAGCTATGAAGTCCAAGGAATTGTCCATAGACCAGGGAGGTAACCAAGCAACCCGATAGTCACTCTAAAGAGCTCCAGCATTTTTGTGGAGAGAGAAACCTTCCAGAAGAACCATCTCTACAGCACTCCACCAATCAGGCCTGTATGGTAGAGTGGCCAGACAGAAACCACTCCTCAGTAAAAGGCAAATGCAGCCTGCCTGGAGTTTGCCAAAAGGCACCTGAGGAACTCTCAGTCCATGAGAAACAAAACTCTGGTCTGATGAAACAAAGACTGAACTCTTTGGCCTGAATGCCAAGCATCATGTCCGGAGGAAACCAGGCAACACTCACCACCTGGCCAATACCATCCCTACAGTGAAGCATGGCGGTGGCAGCATCATGCTGTGGGGATGCTTTTTCAGCAGCAGGAACTGGGAGACTAGCCAGGATTGAAGGAAAGATGAATGCAGCAAAGTACAGAGACCCTAAGCACGCAGCCCAACAAAGGAGTGGCTATGGGCCAACTCTGTGAATGTCCTGGAGTGGCCCAGCCAGAGCCAAGACTTGAACATCTCTGGAGAGATCTGAAAATGGTTGTGCACCGAAGCTCCCCATCCAACCCGATGGAGCTTACTGGAGAGGTATTGCAAAGAAGACTGGGAGAAATTGCCCAAAAATAGGTGTACCAGGCTTGTAGCATCATACTCCAACAAAACGACTGAATGCTGTAATTGGTGCTAAAGGTGCTTCAACAAAGTATTGAGCAAAGGCTGTGAATATTTATGTACATGTGGTTATTTTTGTTTTTCTATTTTTAATAAAATGCAAAGGTTTCAAAAGGAACTTCTTTCACTCTGTCATTATGGTGTATTGTTTGTAGAATGTTGAGGAAAAAAATGAATTTAATCCATTTAGGAATAAGGCTGTAACATAACAAAATGTGGCAAAAGTTAAGTGCTGTGAATACTTTCTGGATGCACTGTATGCTGCAACCTATCAATTCTTAGATGTGATAGTTTCATTTTGTTTTTTTTTTACAGAACAAGTTGTCCTGCAGATGTAGCAGTTAGAAGGGTGAGACAAATCATTAACCACTGACAGGGGTGCTTACAATAATCAGCTGTTATGTAAAATCTTCATCCCAAAAAGAAAAAAAAATAGTTGCTGCTTAAGTGCAAGATCATACCAGTGCCATTTGAGGTATGATTTGCTAATTGAAATCACACCTAATGAATGTCAGTGTCTCAACATGTGCGATTTGCTGCAGGGTGATTTCTTCTAAAGTAGTCCTTGCATTACATTTTCTGCATTATAATATTGCATTATTATATTATTGGCATATTATATATATATACATATATATATATACACACATATATATATATATATATATATATATATATATATATATATATACACATATATATATACAGTTGCAAGAAAAAGTATGTGAACCCCTTGGGATTACGTGGAGTTTTACATGAATTGGGCATAAAATGTGCTCTGAACGTCATCTAAGTCACAACAATAGAAGAACACAGTCTGCTGAACATAATACTACACAAACATTAGATGTTGCCATGGTTTAATTGCACATAACATGTAAACATTCACAGTACAGGGAGGAAAAAGTATGTGAACCTATGGACTTAATAACTGGTTGACCCTCCTTTGGCAGCAACAACCTCAACCAAACGTTTCCTGTAGTTGCAGATCAGACCTGCACAATGATCTGGAGTCATTTTGGACCACTCCTCTTCACAAAACTGTTTCAGTGTAGCAATATTCTTGGGATGTCTGGTGTGAATCGCTCTCTTAAGGTCATGCCACAGCATTTCAATCGGTTGAGGTCAGGACTCTGACTGGGCCACTCCAGAAGGCGTATTCTGTGCTTTTGCAGCCATTGTTTTGTTGAATTACTTGTATGCTTTGGGTCATTGTCCTGTTGCATCACCCATCCTCTGCGGAGCTTCAGTTGGCGGACAGATGGTCGTCTGTTTTCCTGCAAAATGTCTTGATAAACTCTGGAATTCATTTTCCCATCAATGACAACAATCCGTCCAGGCCCTGAGGCAGCAAAGCAGCCAAAAACCATGATGCTCCCTTCGCCATGTTTTACAGTGGGGATGAGGTTTTGATGTTGGTGTGCTGTGCCTTTTTTTTCTCCACACATAGTGTTGTGTGTTCTTCCCAAACAACTCAATCTTGGTTTCATCTGTCCACAGTATATTTTGCCAGTAGTGCTGTGGAACATCCAGGTGCTCTTTTGCAAACTTCAAACGTACTGCAATATTCTTTTTGGACAGCAATGGCTTCCTCCGTGGTGTCCTCCCATGTACTCCATTCTTGTTTAATGTTTTCCTTATTGTAGATGTGTCAACAAAAATGTTAGCATGTGCCAGAGATTTCTGTAGGTCTTTAGCTGACACTCTGGAGTTCTTCTTTACCTCATGCAGCATTCTGCGCTGTGCTCTTGCAGTCATTTTTAAAGGACGACCGCGCCTAGGGAGAGTAGCAACAGTGCTAAACTTTCTCCATTTGTAGACAGTCTGTTTTACCGTGGACACATGAACATCAAGGCTTTTGGAGATACTTTTGTAACCCTTTCCAGCTTCATGCAAGTCAACAATTCTGGATCGTAGGTCTTCTGAGAGCTCTTTTCTGCAAGGCATGGTTCACATCACACAGTGCTTCTTGAAACCAGTAAACCCAAAACAGGTGTGTGTTTTTTAAGGGCAGGACAGCTGTCAGAAACACTTCCAATATCATCACACTGATTGGAGTCAAGGTTGGCTCACTCCTGGTTCCAATTAGCTCTGGGAGAAGTCATTCAGCTAGGGCCTCACATACTTTTTCCTCCCTGCACTGTGAATGTGTACATGTTATGTGCAATTAAACCATGGCAACATCTAATGTTTGTGTAGTATTATGTTCAGCAGACTGTGTTCTTCTATTGTTGTGACTTAGATGACGTTCAGAGCACATTTTATGCCCAATTCATGCAAAACTCCACGTAATCCCAAGGGGTTCACATACTTTTTCTTGCAACTGTATATATATATATATATACAGTCATGGCCGAAATTGTTGGCACCCTTGATATTTCTCCAGGAAATCATGTATTTCTCACGAAACGTATTGCATTAACACATGTTTTGCTATACACATGTTTATTCCCTTTGTGTGTATTGGGACAAAACAAAAAAAGGGAGGAAAGAAAGCAAATTCGACATAATGTCACACAAACCTCCAAAAATGGGCTGGACAAAAGTATTGGCACCCTTTCACAACTGCGGATAAATAAGAATGTTACAAGCATGTGATGCTCCTGTAAACTCACCTGGGGCAAGTAACAGGTGTGGGCAATATAGAAATCACACCTGAAAGCAGATAAAAAGGAGAGACGTTCACTTAACCTTTGCATTGTGTGTCTGTCTGTGCCACACTAAGCATGGACAACAGAAAGAGGAGACGAGAACTGTCTGAGGACCTGAGAACCAAAATTGTGGCAAAATATCAACAATCTCAAGGTTACAAGTCCATCTCCAGAGAACTAGATTTGCCTTTGTCCACAGTGCGCAACATTATCAAGAAGTTTGCAACCCATGGCACTGTAGCTAATCTCCCTGGTCGTGGACGGATGAGGAAAATTGATGAAAGATTGCAACGCAGAATAGTCCGGATGGTGGATAAGCAGCCCCAAACATGTTCCAAAGACATTCAAGCTGTCCTGCAGGCTCAGGGAGCATCAGTGTCAGCGCGAACTATCCGTCGACATTTAAATGAAATGAAACGCTATGGCAGGAGACCCAGGAGGACCCCACTGCTGACACAGAGACATAAAAAAGCAAGACTACAGTTTGCCAAAATGTACTTGAGTAAGCCAAAAGCCTTCTGGGAAAACGTCTTGTGGACAGGTGAGACCAAGATAGAGCTTTTCGGTAAAGCACATCATTCTACTGTTTACCGAAAACGGAATGAGGCCTACAAAGAACAAAACACAGTACCTACGGTAAAATATGGTGGAGGTTCAATGATGTTTTGGGGTTGTTTTGCTGCCTCTGGCACTGGGTGCCTTGACTGTGTGCAAGGCATCATGAAATCTGAGGATTACCAAAGGATTTTGGGTCGCACTGTAGGGCCCAGTGTCAGAAAGCTGGGTTTGCGTCCAAGATCCTGGGTCTTCCAGCAGGACAATGACCCCAAACATACGTCAAAAAGCACTCAGAAATGGATGGCAAAGAAGCGCTGGAGAGTTCTGAAGTGGCCAGCAATGAGCCCAGATCTAAATCCCATTGAACACCTGTGGAGAGATCTTAAAATTGCTGTTGGGAAAAGGTGTCCTTCCAATAAGAGAGACCTGGAGCTGTTTGCAAAGAAGAGTGGTCCAAAATTCCGGGTGAGAGGTGTCAGAAGCTTATTGATGGTTATAGGAAGCGACTGATTTCAGTTATGTTTTCCAAAGGGTGTGCAACCAAATATTAAGTTAAGGGTGCCAATACTTTTGTCCAGCCCATTTTTGGGGTTTTGTGTGACATTATGTCATATTTGCTTTTCTGCCTTGTTTTATATTTGTTCCAATACATACAAAGGGAATAAACATGTGTATAGCAAAACATGTGTTAATGCAATACCTTTTTTGTGTGAAATACTTGATTTTCAGGAAAAATATCAAGGGTGCCAACAATTTCGGCCATGACTGTATATATATATATATATATATACACACGCATTCTTACTTTACAGCATTTCTTCACATCTCCCTAAAACAACTTTTGCATATATCTCCATCCATCTCAACGACACACTTGTATATGCGGACATCCAGCCACAGCTCATCCACCCACTCCTGGGTTACCAGGCAATAACAGTACCCCAACTGCCCAACTGCTGCATTTTCAATTACACAAAAATACTATATTAGATGTGTCTGATGAAGTCAATGGATGAACCATGTCAGGAATGCTCGAGCTGGCATTTGTTAATGTTGTTACTTTGTTTAAAATAAATCAGATACACTATCAATGTCTTACAGAGTAAAATCTGTGCCACTTTTTTTTTTAAAGTATAATCCACTGTTACTTATCTGCAGTCACTCAAAAACAAGTTTTTCAAATGTAACCCATAATATTTGTTACTGTGCTAAAAATAACCACTTGAATTCATAAATTATACTCAATATGCAATGTTATAAATGCCTAAAAATAATGTAAAACTACTTAACAAGTGTCCTTGGTCATTCACATTCATATGGTGCCATACATTTCATCCATCAGTGTCCAAATCTCATAATTTAAATGCATAAAATGTAAGCGCCAGGGCCCTCCTAACCCTTATGTACTGAACTGTCTGTTGTTGCTATATATTGTCTCCCTTTATATTGTAAAACACTGACCAAACTGTTGGTGCTATATAAATCCTGTATAATAAAATATCCAGTGTAGAAATTGTGCAATATATTCTGTTAAATACATAAAGTACAATGTGGCATCCAAAATAGTGTCCACAAAATATCCTCCTTTCAACTGTTTCACCACATCCGATGTCCTCCACCTTTCACTAACCACTCACCAGATTTATAATCCATCAGGCTTTACTCTTTATTAAACCAACCAGATCCTCTCCCACAGGGTCCACGACACGATATTTTAATAAAGAGAAAAGCCTGAAGCATTATAAACCTGGCGAGTGGTTAGAGTGAAGGGTGAAGGACACCGGATGTGCGGAGGATAGCCACAAGGAGGATATTCGTGGACACTATTTTGGATGCACCATAGCACGTGTGTAACATAATATATTGCACAATTCTTGCAGAGGACATTTTGTGAATTTGAATTATGAGATTTGAACACTGACGGATTAATTTTATTGCACTATATGAAGTGGGTGATAGAGGTCACCTTTCATTTATTTTATTTAATTTTTTAGTTATTTATAAAATTGCATGTTGAGTATTTGTTTGTATCATTTATGAATTCAGTTATTTTCTAATTCTAGTACAGTCACAAATATTTTGGTCAGCGTTACACTAGGCAGGTTTTATTCTTTCTTTTAAACTCCGTGTCAGTGTATCAAGTTTCTACCCGATATACTGGAAGAAAGTGGAAAGTCTCAGGTGATTTGAAGCTGTAATCCTGTTTAGTTTTGCAGCTGTGGCGCTTGGGGGTGACCAAATAGCCAAGAGGAGGAATAATAGGACAGGCAAATTCTATTGCTATACATGATTACCTAGAGCAGAGATCTCCAAACTTCCTAAACAGAGGGCCAGTTTACTGTCCTTGAGGATTGGCCAGTGGCAGGATTGTGGCCAGCAGGAATTGAAAATGTCCTTTTATTGGATTTAGTGGAAGACATAGTGCCCCCGTGGACGGTGTCAGTGGGAGACATCGTGCCCAATATTTTGAGGCAGTTGGAGGAATATTGCCTTAAGGGCCAGATAAATGCACACAAAGGGCCACATTCGGCCCCAGGGCTGCAGTTTGGAGACCATTCACCTAGAGAATGGATGATCAGGAGGCTTCATAAATGTGGGTCTAACATTTCCAGCAAATGCTGAATCTAATGGGTATTTTTGTTCAATTAAAAGCCTGGCTTTTGGAACACTATTCTTGTTTTCTCTTTCTCTAAGACACATTTGGTCTGCTGTGGAAAATAAATCAAAATAGTATGTATACATCATGTAAACAACAGCTAAATTACAACAGTTTAAACAGAGAAAAACGAGAGACAAGGTATCAGAACTGAAGGATCATGTTTGTAGAAAATAAAATTAAAAAACAAAAAAAGGACCAAAAGATTGTTGCTCATGTTTAGACACTTTTTCTTTCCACCATTTTTTATATATATATATATAGATATTATAGATATATTTATATATATTTGCTTTTGCGCACTTCTAAGATTCTACCGCTCTTGTATACAGATTTCAATTAAAACACTGCACAGGTTCAAAGCACAAAGGGTTCACAGGGAAAATAAATAGGTCCATAAGTTGGCCCGGTTGAGGTGGCATTTAGGAGGTGGAAGCTACCTGCCACCATTCCAATAATGATCACCAGGGAACGTGTTCCTGCAAGTCTTTTTGATGGTCCACTACGCCTGAAACACCAACTCTGCTTGATGAGTTTTGGCTCTTCCAGTGTTCCACGTGTCAATATGTGCCCTTCATATTCTTGGAAGGTGGTGGTGGGAGTTTGATGGCAAGGGAACAGGGTTAGCAGGGCAGAATTTGGGAAGATAGTAGAATTCCCTCTTCCAGGACCCGCCTCACACACCAATTGCATAGTAAGATGATGATGTGTTAAAACTGCGAGTGTGATCCTTGAAATCCGTGTTTTCTGTTTGTGTGTGGGTATCACAAAGTCTGTGGTGGATCCGTTTCATATGAGGTGTAGCAAACTATTCAATGAAATATATACAATCCTGCCAGAAAATTTTATCCAGAACAAAAACTGAAGAATAGAACATTAAAAACCATTTTATGATAAAATAAGGCAAAAAGCAATTGTTTTGTACATTAATCTTATTATTTTAATAATAGATCTGTGATTTCTGTTCAAAATGATAGCAAGAATGTTGATCTGTTAGATGCAGAATAAAGAAAACAATCCATAGAATATAGATACGGCCCTTCAGTGCCGGAGGTGTCTTGAACAGACTGAAGTATAAATATGCATTGCTATGTTTCTCTGATACCTCCTGTAATGAAGGGGATGAAACTCTGTCATTTTATGGAAAGAACAGGTTTACTTGTTTTACCCTCACCAGAGGCAAAATGCAACTAATATAAAATTAAAGAAAAAAGGTACTTTTTTTCTGGAAGAGACTAAGAACACCGTAGCGAAAAACAAAATACTGTAAAAACTACAAAAATCCATTTAAAAAGTCCCTCCCCTCACTAAACCCGTCCCACTGGCTAAGGAGCCTCCCAGATCGAAAAATAGTTACATGACCAGAGACCTTAAGAGCGGAACCCTTGGTTTCCAGGATGGAACATTTATCACCCCTGAACTGTCCTCCCTGGCTAAAGGAAAGAAGTGTGCTTAGCCTACAAATGTACATTTACAAAAACAGGAGGAGAAAAGAGAAGGTTTTGAGCAGTGCACTTTTGTAAAATATTTTATGTACAAGTTTAAAATTCATGGTGTTTGATTCCTGTGGATATTTATGTTTTAGAAGGAGACTATCGAGCCTCAACTTCTTTAGGATTTCTGGAAGGTGAAAAGTCCCGTGCTTCTGAACTTGTGAGGGGATTAGTCCTGCGGGGAGAGGCGGGCCTTGTGTTGCTGGCTGGCACTAAAGGAGGGGGGGCACTTAGTGCAGCTGTGGGTGGGGTCCGGTTTAGGATTCCATTGTGCATGGCGCCTGAAGGGCTGAGTCTAGGATAGGGCACACTACTCAAGTGTGGCATGAAGGAGGGCATGTGCGCCAAATGGCTCTCTAATGGGGAGGCGTGAAGATGGTGCATTCGTGCCCTTTCTATCTCTTCCCTTAAATGTAATCGTTCTCTCTCACGCTCATCTGCATGTCTCAATCGTTCCTGTTCCCTTCGTGCCTCCAAGAGCTGTTCATGGCTGTAATCATGTGGCTCGCGATCACGGTAAGATCGTTCATGGTCATAGAAGCTTGCAGCAGCTGTCGCTGGGTACCTGTGCATACCATCAGCACGCAAGTGAAAATCCATCCGTCTCTGCAAGTCCAGTGTGCGGTAAGCATCACGCAAGGGGTCTCTCACTGGGTCCCATGCAAAACCCGCATGTGGAAGCCTCTCTCTGCCTGTAAGAGGGCTCATTCCCATAAGCGGGGTCATTACTCTACTGCGGTCCAGCATATTCAAGTTGTTCATTTGGTGGACACTACCCATTGGGAGTTGCATGGAGGTTGCCATTGTGTTGTGAAAGGATAATCCATGCAAGGAAGCTGGGGGTGGAAGTGGCTGATGTTCCACTGTCCGGACCGGATGAGGAGGCTCTGAACCTACTACTAACACATCTGAATCCTCTTTGCGTTCCTCCTTAACTTTTACATCACTCTTGATCTTCTGGAGGTCTGTTGGTAATTCGGGCTTCCTTTCACTGTCTTTGCCTACCAAGTTGCTTAATTTTAAACTTTCACTTAGAACTGGTTTACCATACGGTGATACAGACTGGATGACTGGCTTACCGCCATCCTCTATCGTCCTCTTATCATGAACTGGGGGTTCTTTTACTGGGGAACGGCTTTCCTTGATCTTGTGCTCTGTGGATGGAACTTCACGCAAGCGATCAGCGCTTTCCCGTTCAATATCTTTGGACCTGTCCCCTAGGCTTCCTTGCCTCAGAGAATCGCTAGGGGTCTGGCTGTTGCTGCGGATGAGGTTGCTTATTTGGTGGCTGACAGGAGCTGATGCTGGAGAGGATCTGTTAGAATGATGTCGGCTCTTATCTAATAGGTCCCTAGAAAGAGACATGAAATGAAGCTTGTTACAAACTTTGTGAAACAGTATTATGTATGTAGATGCTGTGTAGTATTATGATAAGCTATCAAATACATGGTTCATAATCAAACTTTTATGCATGCTCATTAGTTCTTGCCAAAGTAATTCTACTATTTTTGGGAGCTTACTTTTGCATATTTTAATGCAGCGATTGAGTGAAAAGAAAAAAAAGACAATGCAGGTCTGATCTCCCAACAATTACTTGTATCATGTAACTTTGATGAAATATTTATTGTTGTAAAAAGTCAAGAAAGTCACTCTTTAAATAAAGGGTCTCTATTGCAAAGACAAGTCTCTGTATTATGCAAGGCAAGTACAGAATGAAGGAAAGAAAGTATTACTTAATGACACCTACTTTCTGTACTTGTAAGCTTTGGTAGCTCTGAGCCATGTTAAAAGTGTAAGTTAATTCTCTACCAATAGTCAAAAGAAGGCTCAGCTGGATACAGTACATTGTGCAGTGTTCTGGCACAAAACAGAGTCAGGCTGAGTACACTCACCTACCCACCTGCCTCAGCCGATCACAGGAGGCTTTGTATTAATAGCATACAAAGCTTCCTGTGTAATGGCTGAGCAGCACTCAGCCCAACTATTATATTCCGGGGTGGGATGGGAAGTTGTCCCACTGTTGAAACACAGCACTGTATACTGTATGTAGCTGAGGCTACATACAGTTAATACAGTGCACTCAGCAAGCACACCTGTTATTGCAATAAACAGTTTGCTTGGCCCAAACAAATTTTTTAAAAAAAGGGAGTTAGGCTTGAATGTCTGAGAGATTGCTCCTGGAATCAACCCATTCTGTGACTGCGTGCCATTCATAGCCTACTACAAAGCAGGTCACAGAGACCTTGGGAGAGAAGCAATGCAAGTTTTTTTTTTTATTATTACATACATTAAAAAGGGCAACTAACCCCTCCTATCCTTTTCAGCCAAGGAAGCTGCCCAAAAAAACAAAATGAAACCACCATGTGCCTAGGTACTGCTGTTTTTGTTGTGTTTTTTTGTTTTTAAGTTCGTAAAGATGTTGAAAAATAAGCACACAGTGTAAATGAAATATGTCAGCCTAATTTTCTAAGTTGCAAAAGGCAAGCTCAAATTGTAAATAAATCTGTAAAAGATTACAGTATGTAAATCCTAACAATTAACTTTTCTTATTTGGTCCCTTATGGTTTGTAAATATACCACTGAAAACATTCGGCTTTATCTGTTCCACAGGTGCAAAAACAATACGTGTTGATCCTATGAATTTCAGCGAGTTTCTAACTCCCAGCACAGTGCCCCTGCTGCACTGCAAGCTCAAGAAGTCTTATGGAGACCTGCCCATGCCACCTACAAAACACCTCCCCCGATACTATAGAGGGGAGGAGAGGGGAGGAGAGGGGAGGAGAGAGAAGGTGCTCTGTAGTCAAGTTGTAGGGTAACTATGCTGCTCTTCATAGATATAGATCATTGAGTGAGGATTGTCACTGTAAAAGAGTGTTACAGGCAATACCACCAAGGGCAAATAAACGATAGAAAACGAAAAAACAAAACAAAACTACTGTTTAGATACAGTAAGTTTCAGAGCTGTAATTCACAAAATGAAGTTCTCTGCGGTTCTGTAACTTTCAAAGGCAATACAGTTTGTACACAAAAATACAGCCAAATAGAAAACGCTTATATAAATTCTACTGTCTTCTGACGTGTACTTCAAATACAGCAAGAGTTAGCTTACCTCTCTTTGTCTCTTCATCTTTTGTCAGAGACAACTCCCTCTTGTCTTCCTTGTCTCTGTCATGGTTCGTCACAGAGGAACTTCTTTCGGAATCTCCTACTTTGGACCACTGAGGAGGAGTTGGGAAAGATGGTGGAGTCCGATGGAGCCGGTTCCAGGGCTCATGGGGGCTGCTAAAGGTCTGAAGAGTCGGGCTCTCTTTGTGAGCGAACAAGCTGTTGTGTGCTGTAGAGGTTCGGAAACCGACAGTTAGGATTGATTTGGGAAAAAAAAAAAAAATCTAATAAAGTGTGGCCTAAAAACAGCAGTGCCACTAAGTTTTCTCTGCTGGAAAGCACATAAAAAGTACTCAACTATGTAACCCTTATTGCCATGGTAAGTGTAAGCTTCTAACATTGCATGTGCATTAGAAGAGTATGTATGCATTTTCTCTGCTTTATGAGATTTCTGGTAGGTATTGCCTTCATGCAGAGATAAAAAAAAAAAGAGAATGTTCGGTTAATCTCTGTAGGAGTCATTTCAATGTGCATACCTATTAGTGAACTTTCCATGTATCAGAATGACAGTAAGAGGCACTGCTGCTTTCAAACACACACCATCTACTCCCTGAACTGCTCAGATGATAATCACAGATCTAGATATATGTCTATTCCTGTATCCTGAAATTAATATAAGATCAGGATCAGCATCTCCCTGGCTGCACTACTATGGAAAAATCACAAGCACAGCACCACAGCCACCAAAGCACATTTAGAATTGCCTTGCAGCACTTCAGCGGATATGCAAATAAAAAGTCCCAAATGACCCAGAAACAATTACTAATAATCTCCCCTGGGGTACCAACTAACCAATCAAAAAAAGCAAGGATTTCTACTTTTGTCATCAGCCTAGTAATTGACTGCAAACCCCTCAGCCAGTACTTACTTAGAGCATGACTGGCTAATCCTCCAAAGGCATTGCTGCCTAAGTTCCCCAGGCCGCTGAAGCTGCTTGACCTGCTAAATGGATCTGGAAAGGCAAACAGGTATTGAAGAGGCGTTTATTCCAAGAGCACTGGAGAATGAAACGCACTCCTGACCCTAAACCTTACTACTGTAGTATCTGGCATGAACAGTCCCACTCTCTTCTGTTAGTAAGGGCAAAAAATGAGAATTCAGCTATGTGGCAGCTTCAGCTGCAGAGTCCTAAAGTCAGAATATATTAATTAGGGTGCTAAAAGACTAAATGTTGAAAAGTCAAGCTTTTCAATTCTAACGTCAATGGCCATTAATTTTTCACTATGTGTAAGGGGAGAATGGTCTCAGTCTGCCTATGGCAGCCACAAAGGTTATCCTAGTACAGTATGTGGAAGTGAAAGACAGACCAAGGATTAAACACATGTATTGCAAAATTAGGTTGTGTAGCCCTTTCTAGCTTGGACCTATATATGGATTGGTTAAAAGTAAACAAATGATTGTTAATACTAAACTGTAAATTTATGACAAATTCTAAAACTTAAAATAAAAATATAGTTTGACTGTATCTGTAACCTGGTCCAATACTGTCAAGTCACATAGACAGAAAACTGAAATGATAAAAGTCAAATAAATGGTTAGTTTAAAATGAGTAATATCAGCTAGAGACTGAAAATGTATAGCATGGCATATCAGTTATGCCACTACACAGTGCAGTATAAAACTAGCTTAGGCACTTCCCCATTTCCCTTCCATTTACTATGCCATAAAAATAATTGCATATTAAGATGTGAAAATGAGGAATGGAATTTACTTACACTTACCAGCCAAATGGCTTGTCGGCAGGAAACCGCTATGATGTGGGGAAGGTCCAAAGGGTGTTGCCCCTGGATGAGTTGGACCTGAATGGAAAAAAATAAAAAATGAATGCAGTCCGCACAGAGGTCAAACATCTAGTCCTCAATTCTTCTAGTTTTGATTATTCTCTATTATTTTAGTGCATTTACCAGCCAGAAAAAGCAGACTGAGCTATCAAACAAAAAAAACACACTGATCTATACAGGACATCTGTAATACAGTCTTCACCAATCCATTTCAAGAGTGCTGACAAGTAAGTGTGATATTAGCAATGGGCTCTGCAAGATCGTCACGCTACAACATACAGATTAGAAAGTAAATCATTTTCCATTTACTTTTTTCAGAAATAAACAATTTTGAGAATAAAATAAATCTAACCCCAGGTTTGTATGTGTATGGTCTGCTTTACAGTATACTTTTCTAAAAGCAAAAAAAAAAAGGAAGGTGAGCTGCAAAAAATAACTAAAACATACGAACTGTAAGCCTTAACAATAATAGTTTTGGCCAATTTTGTTGTATACTGTAAAGGTTTAAAGGGCTGGTTCGCACCAGAATCGCACAGGAACACAGTGCAAGTTCCCTATGCATTCTCCTGCAGTGCAATTTTCAGCCCATTCAGCGTGGTTTTAAAATGCCAGAGTTCAGTACCGAAATTGCCAGCAGTCAGTGGCTGCTATGATTTAGCTATGTATACAGATGGCTAAAGGGGGAACTAAACATAAAAAACCTTTGTAAAACTGCTAGCAGGCAACTTTTTATTGTAGAAATAACATGCTGTGTCACTTCTGCATTAATACAAACTTGCTTGCCCGCTCGCAGTTTACAGAATGAACAAGGAGTTGCATGTGATGCAACTCACGTGTGCATTTCCAGCACACGTCGGTTCTGTGCATCTGCCACTGGCCAAACAAGAGGCTGAAAACTGGCACTTGAGAGAAGACAACAGCGGACAGAAAGGGATGTAGCCACCACATTAATGAAAGGAAGAAATTGAGTATAGGGGGCAGGGTTCTGATTAGTTCAGCTGTAATGCGCAGCAATAGTTTTTCTTACATTACCATAAATTGTTCAGTTTAAATAAAAATGACCAATTTCACATTCATAATTAAAACAAACCAACATTTTGTGACCTTCACAATACAATTTCTGTAATTTTGTCCACACTGGTTTGAGAATACAAAATTCTCAGCAATCCCATTTAGCTGCTCTAACTACAGAAAATAAATTTGATGAGTCTCTGTATTTTTCACACTGTCACTGGCCGCACACTGCCTTACTGAATAAAACCATAAATCTCCTACTGTATATACTGAGCATGTATATGGCACAGCATTTATTACAATGGACTATACAAGAACAATTTGTCAAATGATTTCTTCTAGGTCAAGGACAAGTAGCTCTCCAAAGTCAAACGGAGCTGGTAAAAGCTTTAAAACAACAATTTTCCACTTGAGAGAGCAGCGTTTACACCAGGAACTGGCTATTTCTGCTCCCTGAAGATTTCAGACTGTTAATAAAGGGGATTTGCTCAGTGCAGGGTGCTCTTCCAAACACTACTAACTCAAGGCTGCTGGAAAAAAAAAAAAAAATAAAAATAAGCCTTCTGCAAGTAAAGACGGCAGCAGAGCCCTTAGAGCTGTCTTGTGCTTATTAAATGGAACGATTCTCAAGCGGCCGCACATCCATCTTACAGATGGCGAGCCGGGAGATAGATGGTGCACCCGTGAGTAACAAGGGAGCTCAGCCAGAGCAATGGTTCATGCTGTGACATTCCTGTCTGATAAGGAGAAAAGGATGATACAGATACTGTGTGGAAGGCATTTTATTTATTCTCTGATTGATGCTTCATCGCCTTTGTGCTGCTATCTAAATAAGAAGCTCAGTCTTTACCTGTACATTACCAATTCTGCTTTGAGCGGGTCTGAGAAAATAAAGGAATGATTGAAAATAATGGAAATTGTTAGGGGAACAATCTCCTTTTAAACCAATGTTATGCTGAATATGGCTGTCAGTAACAAAGGATATTATCCGTGTGATTTTAGCCTATTAACAGGCAGAGCGCAACCGCAAAACAATTAGTCTTTCTGAGAGATTGTAGCAAGCAGGATAACACTACATGACAAGATAAGACTGTGCGGTTTAGCATTTATGTTGCCTGAAGATGGCTGGCATGCTCTGTGGATGTTTGGAGAATATTTTATAAGTCGTAATACTGACATAGTCTCCGTGGGATGTTCCTTATAGCAGTGCAGACCTGGTGATAAATCAATCTTCTGAATGTAGACACCAGGCCCATTGACTATATCTGTAGTCTGTTCAAAGAACACCTCACAAAAGAATTCCCCCACCATTGTTATATGTCATAAACAGCCTTGGACCAAGCATGCCAACCTCAGATACACTTGGGAATTGGGTATCCCTCTGTTATCTACTAAAAATGTTACTTTTCACTAGTCAGGTGCACAGGTAAACTGTCACCAAGTAACCTCAGATTTCTAGACTAAATTTGATTTTAAATTTCCCTATTTGTTACTAAACTAGAAAAGTAGTACAAATGATGTGAAGATATATTCATGCTTCAGTACCTTACAATACAAAAGACAAAAAAAATGCAGCAATGGAGAAAGACTTCACAGCAGTGATGCAAATCACTGGGTTGTATGTTGACACGGTCCCAAGTAGATCACAATTCTGTCTAGTGAAAATCCCAACTGATTGCCATACCTTCTCAGCTATTTTTGGCTGCACCTGTGGTCAAGAATCTTCTCAAAGAAAAACAGAGGACAAAGCCTGGGAACATTAGCACTTCAGTTTATTGCTTATTACGTATTGTAAAACTACAACTTCCACAGAATTGCTGCTGGTGTAGAAAATGTAAAACATTTTGCATGGGCAGGTTCATCAATCTTTGACTTACCTGTGCTAGAAAATAAAGGTCTGGCTAAATCATGAGGATAAGGGAGGCCTGGAAAGACACCTGGTGCAGGCGGCCTGCTGAACAGGTCAAGTTTGCCACAAATATCCAGCTTGTGAGGATCCATCTGCATTTGCTATGAGAAACCAGAAGTAGGCACTCAGACTATTATCCAAAGCAAAGCATTCTTTATCAATCAACACACAAACATTAACCAAAAAGCAAGTTTAACAGAATATATACATCACTGTGGACTTCCATATAGTTTTAGGGCCCATTCACACGTTTCAGTTTTGGTGCATAGCGTCAAGGAAGACCATTCAAAAGGAACAGGCTGCCAATACACCAGAATAGAAAACCAAACATGCATTGCTTTTTTCTGAGGCAGCACAGTGGTGCATTACCATGCGTTGGGGTACGTGGCAACTCGTGTTCATAGGATTAGAACAATTTGGATTACAATAGTGCATTTCATTGGCATACCATAGAAAATGAATGCAACTGCAATGCACTAACACCTGCAAAGTGTCTTGCAGGATTCTTACTTCAATGCACTGAAACAGACAGGTGTAAATGGTCCCTTAATCTCTCCCACCTCCACAATTAAGGCTCATGATGGAATAGCTTAACATTTAACATGGTTTATCCTATGAAACTGCTCCTCTCGCTGCACAAGCAATATGTTACTCTAGAGAAACTGATAAATAGGATAGAAGGTAAATGTGGCCCTCAAAAAGGCAAACATGAATTTCTGTGATTAGTGGTGGAATCACCAACATTAAACTTCTCTTTCACTAGTAGAAGTTTCTTCATGGCTGCAGAAACACAATCAGTGAGTAAGCAGCCGCTGGGTAACTTCCCTTTGTGCAAAAGAAGTTCAATGCCAGCGATTTGTTTTTGCAAAATTTTGCTGGTGACAGAACCACCCATCTGACAGGGTTCTAATATTTAGAGAAAAATGAATTACATTACACATTTACCTTCTATCTTTTCCAGTCCAATTCTCTTTAGAGTATAAGCTTGAATAACAACAGCACAGTGGCTAAATGGTTAGCACTACTAGGGTCATTGGTTCGAATCCCAACCATGGCACCACCTGCTTGGAGTTTGCATGTTCTCCCTGTGCCTGTGTGGGTTTCCTGCGGGTGCTCTGGTTACCTCCCACAATCCAAAGACATGCTGGTAGGTTAACTGTCCTGAATTAATTGGCCCTAGTATGTGTATGTATGAATGTAAGTTAGGGACTTTAGACTGTATGCCCCTTGATGGTTAAGGACTGATGTGAAAAATGGTTATGCATCTGTGCTACCACTACTACTCACTGGTATCTCTTATTTTGTGTAAGTAAGCCTCAAACTATCTAATGAAATGTACATCCAAGTCCCTGCACAAGTCAGGTATTCCTTCGTGTTCCAGGAGCCCAGAATGCTGTGTAAACTTTGGATAGGAGGGAGGGTGAGGGAAAGACTTAACCATGACAACTGCTCAGTGTGGGGCCATTCTCTGCACCAAGGCAGCTGTTTAAAATATGCATATCAGACCACATATTCTGGGTTCCCAAAGCTCTTTATAAGAAATCTAAGCTCATATGTAGGTAGAAATTTGCTTTACCTGCTTTGTCCTGATGCAACTTAAAAAGTAAAGCTGACCCAGCCTAAAATGTTTCTCACATCAGTAGTGCCTGCAGTTACTGTTAGTCTTCAGACTGATCCCTATTTGGTCTCTTGGCACAAGTTGTACATGAAGTCTTCATGTCTGCCAAAGTTGAGATTAAGGCTAGGTTCACACTTTAGTTGGTGGATGTGGGAATCACAGCTGTTCCTGCACCCGCAACCACATCATGCTGCTCTGTAGAGACCCGCAGGGCTGCCATTCATTCTTAATAGCACCCCACAGCATTTGCAGGTGTGGGGACTGCAGGAAAAGCACCATGTGGCTTTTTTTTTTGTAAATGGTGCAGGTACCTATTTTTTGAGAGAAACACAAGCACAGCAGCCCATTCAAAAGTGCAGGTTGCAAACCTACTCAAGTGTGAACCTAGTCCTGCAGCCTTCCTACGATACGCTCCACTGTTCAAATTTCAGGGCCTCTTGAGTTTGATGGAAAAATAGGAGGTAAGTGGTACACAAGTCAAAGTTCTGTGTACAGAACCCTAGCATTCAAGCGGCTTCACAGGTACAGATCCAGTATTTGCAGGCACCACAAGATACCTGCATTTTTAAACACTGTTAATTGCAAAGTGTTTTAGGCCAGGTCCACTTTAAGAAATGATCCACAAACATTACAGTCATGTGTACAGTGTGCTACATTTAGATAAAATTTAATTGGGTTATATTACGTATATAGATTGAAATGACTAAATATAATAGATTGTCATGACAAACTTTTTCTTTTGATTAGATCTGAGCAAATAGTGAAATGGACAGTGTAGTTTTATATCAGATTATGTCATGTTGTCAGACTTCCTGTAGGAAAGTACACTCAGGATTTAGATGGGAGACGGTACAATGACTGATGTTGTATGTGGTAAAACTATAAAAAATAATATCAATCAAAAGGAGAAGAGAGTTGGATAAAATGAAGGTATGTGACCAGCACACAATTACCATTGGCATTAGGTAGCCAAAGGATAGTTTGTTTTTTTTGTGACTACTTTGAAATACACAAATATTGCTCATTCGTTTCTGGCAAGCACAACGATGACTATTTCTTACTATAACTGGACAGATAAGTAAATCTAAGTCTATGGGAACCCTAAAGCAAACCATTAATGAGATGGAGACTGTCATAAGATCACCTTCTGAAAATGCGAGTTGCTTTGTTGTCCAGGTGACTTTCTTGCATTAGTACTCCAAATAACTGACCTAAAACAATAATGCAATTGCATCTGACTTTCCCAATCCACACACTTGTTCCTGGTCAGTGACTCAGATAGCATTTAAGTAAAGATAAAAGTCAGTCAAACTAGCATTTTTAGGAGGGTATCAGCATATGCAGTCCTACTATTTTATGAAAGGCTTACTATGTGGAAAGCAAAACATTTTTAGATCTAGTCTCTGGCCAGCCAAAAAAACTGACACTATAATCCCGCAAGGAAACTACAAACCGCGTAAAACAAGTGCAAGAAGTTTTTTTTTAAAAAGGTGTATGAACGTGTGGATCTTGGAAAATCGTTTGACCCTAAGCTCCTTTATTTAACACTCCAAGGAACTGTCAGACTCAATTCTCTCAGTGGCCTCATGAAAAGGTTACTGATCCAAAGAAGCTGTATTAAATGCTTCTGCCTCATTACAAGTGTGCCCTGAGCGCTGTGGCACCCACCCCCACCACTGCAACAGCATACGCCAGCATGGTCTGAGGCTTTGTGCCCTCATTATCTAGGTTATTCCCTTTGGCACATTTTTTTTTTTAAATAATTAGATTCTTTGTAGGAGAAAAACAAAAAACAAAAAAAAAAACAATCATTCCATGCAGAACATCACAAAGACAGTATTTTCAGAGCCAAGGTTGGGATTAAGGAGGAAGCCTAAAATACAGTTTTGCACAAAACCACCATAATCTTCCACTGAGTAAAGTTTTTAATTGAGGCTTTATAGTGGCTTGTCACCAAAAGCTTTTACCTTCATCTTCTGCTGATGGTGGTAGATTTGCCAAGCTATCTGGACATGTACTGCACACCACTTGCCTGGTTTCTGCAAAAGCAAGGGAAATACGGTGTGAGTGCTGGAATGGCTTAGGGCCCCAGGCAATTTTTTGGGCCCTCAAATAAGTTAATTATTCAGTATAAAAACCCTGCAAAACATTTGCAGTCTCTATCTTAAACATTCTATTCTTAACCTTGCCCCTTTTTCCTCATGTTAGACAAGTTAACAGGAGGATAAAATATTACATAAAAACGCAGATGAGGCAAAATCTAATAAGAAATGTATTGAAGAGCAGGGTGCAACTGTATGGTCAGTGTACTAATCACCCTATATAAACAGCTTACATTACTTTTTGAAACACCTTAAAACACATAAAACAGTGCGCAAACAAGTTAACCAAACTGTGCTGAAAATGGGTTTTATCCCTTTTGGGTACCCTGAAAACTCCAATATATTAATTCTATCAATGCCAGTCTAGTGATAAAATGCTAAAAAGGGATGCTGGTGTAGCCCAACACCTCAACTGGCACTGAGCCTGCAATGCTGTTGCTTAGAGTCATTAAAGAGCAGCATATTCTATCGCTGAAATCTAGGAACAAAGGGGGGGAAATAAACTGATCCAATCTAAGTACTCATAACTTCAAACATTTCTAAGTTTAAAGAAAATTTATGAATGAAATGTGGAAGCTGCCATTCTGACCCCTCCTACTGAAAAGTCTACTGGTTTGGCTGCAATCCTGACCCCTCTTGCTTCAATATAAATCTGTAAAAAGTATACAGAAAAGCAATATTAACTTTTCCGCTCTGCTTATAGGTTTCAAATCAGGAATGGCAGCCCCCTTTAATTTTTGCAACCAGTTCCTTTTAAATACCATAGTCACCACGCTAAAATGAATTTTTTATTTACTTACTCTTACTGGTGTCCTGTATGGATCGGTAACCTGCAAGAAAAGCAGACATGTCATGGGCTGTATTACAGACTTCCACCTCCAACCTGAATATAAATTAATTTCTTGTACAAGACAAGAAAAAATAAAAATAAAAAAATAAAATACAACTATGAATCATAAAGAGAAAAAAAAAAAAAAAAAAATCACACTAAGCATGCTGCAGAATGATTATTTATATACAAACCCCAGGTGTTTTCTGTAGGAGGGTGTGATGTACTGCACCAGGCCTGCTAGTGACATCAATGGTATTTGAGGTCTGCAAACAGAGAGGCAAAATTATTAAAAAGTGTCCAGATCAATTTACATGAGCAAAACCACATAACTAAAGCTCAATTATTTATAGTGAAGTCCCTATAGTGTAGTTCAATACAAGTTTAGAATTTTTTTTTTTTTTTTTTGTAGTATTAGTAGCTGATGGAACTACAGAGCTTTTCTAGAACACTTTAAATTCTCTTTTCTCTGTTAAAGAAAACAATTATTCAGCAATTGGAAAAGTTACAAAATGTTTTTTACTAATACCAGATTTTGTTTTATAACTGCTAGCTAATGAGTGGCAGTGGTGCTTTGAAACCAAGATTAAAATCTCTTCTGCAATCCCGAGCACCTCGGTCCACTATGGTTACAGTAAGTCTAGCAGGCAGAGATCTATGTTGTTTAGTACATAAGACAGCATACTCAACAAAAGAACATCTGACTGGAGAGCTAATGATATGTGACATAATACACATTGCACGGACATATATATTTAGACTACAGCCAAAGCCATTAGATAGTAAATAAAATACCTACAGACTGCAATACAATGAAATGTGATAGGCTGACAGAAAAAGGCTAGTTGGCTGCCTGTATAACAGAAAGGTACTTTATGGGCACTTCAGGTCGTGTACTAACAAGAAGCTAATCAATCATGTGCCTTCCCCTGGTGTGATGTATGCAAAGCACAGGTGGATATCAGTTTTCCTATCACTACAGGCTCTACAGGCTATCACTGTTAAGACAGCTTGTGACACATAATTAAGGTTCAACCAGTACAGTGAAGTCATGAAGAAAAGCCATAGATGGTGCATTGCATCATGGCAACAGCATATATTCACATTCTGTTTTAATTGGGTGCCACCACAGCTCTATTAAATCACAAAAATATTACTGTCAATATTAATACTAAATGCTGCCTTGCTCACCTTCGGCTGAAAAGCTCCCTGAAGAGAACTAAATGGACCTGAATGAGGAAGCATTGGGGGCATTCCAGGCATTGGAGATGTATATGTTGGAAAGAACTGGAAAAAACAGAATTGTGTTTAAATTACATCATAAAGAAATGTAACATAACATAACATAACATAACATGTAACATAAAAGCAGGTATAGAACAGCAGACAAAACGGTGCTGAAAAGATCCTGTGCACAGAACTATGGAAGCAAGCAGCTACTGGGATCACCAAATCGTGTGCTCAGCAACATTATTCCAGCAAGCCTGGAAAAACAGTGGTTGCTTCACAAATATCCATTAGGTCTGAGAATATCAGCAGCTGAGCTTTATGAAATCTTAATTAACGGTCAAGGGTACCAGTTGATTCTGTTAGAAGTACCCCAATCTAATGCTAAAAAAACAAAACTCTGCTCTATGGCAGAGAACACCACTTTTGACTGTACTGTGTAAGCACACCATAGTGAAGAGACTGAGGTAGCCATGCAGAGCTGGTCTGAGGTCATGTTCATAAAAATTTTGGTTGGACATAAGGACCGTTTACAGCATTTCTAATTAGCGGGGACAGACCACTTTCAGTGCATTCACCTAATATGCAGTCTTTTAGTGGATGCATTTGAAGTCCCCAAAGTCTAGCAGACGGGCCAGCACTGTACTATGCTATAAAAGCCATAGTACACTAGTCATATGGGTATTAAAAAAAAAAAAATACAAAAAAGGGGGACTTGAGCAGATACTTTGTGTTAAGGTCATATACATAAAGCCCTTATGGTTCAAAACTGATGTGTGTGACTCATAATATTGTAAGGGCCTCTTTACTTCCATACAATTTTGTAGTCTTTGCAGTGGAAGCATAACCATGACAGTGTATGGGGACTGATATCCAGTGTCTAACAAACTGTGTATTTCAATAAGAGGAAAAGTCACTTTCAAAAGGTTAATCTTTAATTAGCAAACGATTTGTATTCCCTATTGCACAGCAAGAAAACCAAGAACACATAATAAAGAACCACAATCACTAAAATAAAAATGCTTATGTAACAAACTGCAAGCATTTAGAAATAAATGCATAACAACTGTGATCATCTATAGATCTCCAAGTATTTGACACAGCATCTACCATTACCAGTATCTTTGGTTACATAAACAGACTTCTATTTGAGGTTTAGTGGTCCTTTATATGACAACTGGAAGCAGGGTAGCACAAATAAACAATACTAAGGACAAGTTTCTCTTATATCACTAGGAGACATTAAAAGAAAATCCGATTTCCCCAAACTGTTTTTTATATAGCATTTTTTTTTCTTTTTAAATTGAATGGTAAACCAGAGACAGTGAAGAGTGTACTAAATTAAGTTTTCATTTTAGCACAAACAGACGTATAATTAAAGTAGTAATATTGCTAATCACTGCCCAAATTTGTTTTTTCTGGGAATGCTACTAAACGGTGGGTGTACTGTTTTCTTTAAATGGCAATTCCACAGGGTAAATGCCACAGAGATGTGATGGGCACATCAAGCCTATGGGACTCTAGTCAGACAGCCTTGTTTCAGGCAATCTGTCTTCCACTAGTACACAGATTGAATAGACCAAATCACAAGAGGAATCATCGGTAGCAATCACATGTCATTAGAGAAAGAGTTCAAACAAATGTGATCAGTTTACTCCACAGGGGCTGCTTTCACATGTGGCATTGCAGCATTTGTAAGTTGTTAACTGCCTGCAGTACTTTCTATTGTCAATCACAGATGTTTGCACCCTGGCAGCAGGGAATGCAGTTTAGTGAACTGAAAATACAGAAAAGCAAGTATACACTACAGTAAATAGGCTTAGGTGCAGGGTGCAAGCACTGTGGGGTTGCTGTGTAAACATAATAAACTCACGCTAGAATGACGGAAATAAGAGCTGTCTAACTTGGGAGCGTACTTGTCAAACTAAAAATGGAAAAAACAAAATAGCAAATGGGTATGATGTTAAAAATAGATTGCAGGGATATATGTATTCAACAATTTAAAAAGAAAAATTGAAAACAGCACCAAGTTTCAGTATGTCAGAAAATTACAAACATTGGAGGGGCCGATTTATTTAAAAGTAACAAAAAAATAAATGCAAAGGTAAGTTGAAATTTCGCTTTTAGCAACCAGACTCTAGTTCTCATTTATCTAGTTAAACTTTAAAAAAAAAAATTTGACATGCCCAACCAGTTGCAATGGGCAAGCGCAGTATTTTTTTTCAGATCCATTCATTGCTGAACAGATTTCCTGCACAGTTCCTTTTAAAGTTGATCTGAATTGAACACATTCCTTTAAAAAAAATAATGAACATTAACCAATCAGTTTAGTGTTGTCAAATAGCAAATCTGGTTCCTCACTGGTTATTGATATGAGTCTTATTAAACTGAGGGATAAATGTTTACTCTGGCAACAAGAGGCTCCTGGGGATTAGAAAATGCTAAACCATACATATCCACATTTCATTACATACATTTATTTAATTACCAAAAAATAAAAAATTTAAATAAAAAATCATTACACATTATAATGGCAATCAATGCATAAATACAAATCAACATCAGCTGTGTGTCCAAAACTATCCAACAGTATAACAAACAGGCAGATATTCAGACAAACCCTGTTGAAATAAAGTCGTTGACATATGCTAAAGGTTACAACATAGGATGGTAACATGCCACAGGCTAAACCATAAAAGTCAACTTCTTTGCCGATAAAAAATTTACCTTACATTTCCCTACAAGCGTCTTCATAAAGTCACACAGTCACAACAAAAGTGAAAGAGGTGGAAACTTGTGCATGTTTCACACCAGCTTGTGTGAAATGTACTTGAAAGTCAGCTCCTACATTACTTCAACCCTTCTTTTCTGATGGTGTGAGACCTATAATTTTTGTGTATTAAAAAGCTTATTTTTATAGTTAGGCGTGTGGCATATACTCGACTTAATCTTCAGTGGGATGGAATACATAAAAAAAAAGAAAAAAAAAAAAAAAATCTAGCCCCTTCCCTCCAGTAGAACTGTTATTTAAGAGATGTCATCTATGACCTCAATAAGCTACTGAAGCCAGCTCGCAATGCATCTGGACTGAATGAGTATTATAATCACCAGGAGAATAATAAATATGTGAAGATAAAAATGTGCAAAAAAAAAAAAAAATAAAAAAATTAAAAAAAAATTAAAAAAAAAACTTCAAGAAACTCCAGGTTTGACCCCAATGACTGGATAACCCAAGAGATAAAGAAGTGGAGGGAGAAGGGAAGTGGGTTTGGACGTTGGTGCGCTACTTATCCTCACATTTCGAGCTGGGGTACGCACCATGGTAGGTGCATTAGGCGGCATAAGCTGCGTCGGGGGTAGGCTGGATGTGAAGGGAGTAAAAGTGTGCTGATGGGTGTGTTGGTGCGTGTGTTGGTGCTGGTGATACTCCGCCCTCAGCAGCGGCACTGAGCTGAGAGGGGCACCGGCCCGGTCCGAGGTCTGAACCAAAAATCGATTATTCAGCTCCTGTCTGAGAAGTTCATGATCTAGAAGAGACAAAAAAGACAAAAAAAAGACACAGAGGCCCATCGGCCCATCAGTTTCCCCAAAGATATAAAAGGAAAAAGCGCAGATATTCACCTGGCATTCCCTGTTTCTGCAGGTCATGCTGTGGTGGTTTTCTACGTGAGGACTCATTGGTGGAGGTAAGAGAGATGCCTGTGACAAAGTACCAATCAGAATCCCCGAATGAGGCTGGCAATACATGATTGGTTGGTTGAATGATATCAACAGGCTGGTATCTAAAGACAAGAAAGAACACCATGAGTCATCTCAGGAGAAAACAACGGGCCTTATTATGCAGTACAACAAGCCACACCCAACTATCCTAACTCTATTCCCAAACTCTGGTCTGGAAATAATTAATCTGATCAGTGGCTATAAAACAGATATAATCATTGGTAGCAGGAAATTGCCAATTAAACACTAGTTCTGGCACACAAGGGTCTGACATATTTCTTAAATGGTATCTGAAAGCTCAGAATACATGCCAACACTTGTTTGGTAGTAGTGATAATAAAATGGCCCAAATGAAAACTAAATCTATAAGCTGACACACTAACAACATTAGCATTAAGAAAAACAACCCCAAATACCAAAAATAGATACATGTATATTTACAGGCTATTCTATATAGGGTGCTTTTTCATGGGCATGAAGCTCCACTCTTCTGAATATTCACTAACTGCCAGCTGTTAGCTGTCAGTGAACATATGTTCATATTAATGCATCTGTCTGCATTTGGCGTCCTCCAACATGTAAACCTTTGCTGGCACACACAGGGGCATATTTATAAAGCAGTGAATGGGACTTTTATCAAACATTCACTGGTGGTGAATCGCTGTCACTGAAAACACATGAACCTGAAAGATTCACCTGCAGTTAATGTGCGGTAAATGTCAAATTCATGTCTTTATAAAATATCCCTATAGTGTCATGTAGGAAGCTCAATTTGTGACGATAACAGATCTGCTGACGGCCATAAAAGACCATGGGTGTTTGTGGGAGGAGAGCTCGCAAGTCTCTATGCCACTGGAAAGGCACCCCAAGTTAAAACACATTTCTTGACACTGAACATGAAGTAGTAGCACACAAAACACTCACACATGCTTATTACACCTCTTCTGAGCAGAAAAGCTTACAGTATTATAGAGTACCACTACTTTTATGATTATGACTGCACAGCTTTGGTTCTCAGAAGCTGAACAGAGGCAATGATCTAAGGGAAGACAAAACTATTCTATACTGTGAGCCTTCATGGTTAATTCAGCGCAGTCTAATAATTAGTTACATTCTGCAAACTTGTGCAGATCCTGGTTTGAGGATTGGCGTTGTGCCAGTCTTGTGGTAGAGATTTAAAAGCAAACAGTAGGTTACTACATTAAGTATGTAGATTCTGGAGTACTGACACGTGGTTACAATTCACTGAAATATATGTGCTACTTTAAGACATGACTTTGTGAAATCATGTAAGAATTCTGTTTTGTAAATGCTTATGGTTTTATTACCAGAGATGGGCGATTACAAGGAATATCCAGTTGGTTTTGCAACATCTACGTCAACATTAAAATTGCACATGATTTCTTGTTACGAGTATCGTCTCGACACCATTCATATACTTTATTTCTCTAGAGGAAAGTATGGCCAACTAGTGGGACCAAGAGCAGACATCTCCATGCTGCTTTGGAACCCTGACCAAAATATGTTCAAGGTTTTCCTTGTGTTTTATAATAATTATAGATGGCTTTAACAATGCATTTAGTCCTGGCTAGTACTAAATCATGATTATTTGATAAAAATTGCAATTTGAAAATATGGGGAGTATGGGAAAATTTGCGGTGCTCCTTTGATCAGAATGCACTGCCATAACACTACATGGACTTTAACATAGAAAATGGTACAAATTTCAGAGTACAATTATAGCAAAGATTACTAGCTTTCAATATTAGTGCTTTACAAAACATGGCTAATGTAGCATTGTTTAAAACTAGTAAGGACAATTGAATCTGACTACACTGATGACATCTTTGGCAATATATTACAGAGAGGAATACATGGCCAGCAGTAGGCACAGGCACCTCTGTGTGGGACCAATTGCCTACACTACAAGGATATGTCAGTTACAGGTAATGCCATGCTGGACTCTTTAAAAGAGAACTTTCCATTAACTATCAATGTTTTAGCAAATATATCTGGCAAAAGGAGTCATTACTGCATGAAGGCTGTTTTGTTACGCACATAGTACACCATCCATACATCTCCACATTTATACTTACCTGAATATCCAGCTCCAGCAGGGTGCCCAGGGATTACAAGGCCATTAGCAGGTAAAGATGGTGGAGGTGGCAGTGTGGGAGGGGTGGCAAACATGGCCGGATGATGCTGGGTTTGAGATCTGAGAGCAAAGTGTGAGGTAGCAAGGTTGGAGATGGAGAGAGGCAGACCCGGTCCAGCAGAGTGATGTGGAGGAATCTGGGGGGAAGACGATAAGTGCTTGGGAATGCTGATACTCGCTGCACTGCTAGCACTGCTACTCCGGCTGTAAGTGGAGAAAAAAAAAAAAAAAAAGTTTTTGCATTCTCATTTATTTGTCTCAGGGCTACAGTGTTAACAGTAAACAAACTTTAAACAGACAAAATTACTGTGCAAATTTTTGGAACTTTGGCATATAAGAGTCCAAACAGTTACCTGATGCTGGTGATTCCGTTTTGTGGCAGCTGCTGATGTCCAGGGTAGTTAAGATGTGAAGGGATATGATTCTGAGTCCGTAGCTCAATAGGTAACAACTGAGGCTGAGACAAAGGCCGAGACTGAGGACGTGGTTGGGGTTGAGGTGTAAGTCTTGGCGGAGCTGGGGCGACTATGGTAGGTTCCTTCTTTACTAGAGGGCTAGCCCGAGTACTTGATGCAGGTGTAGACGAGGCAGATGTGACAATAGCAGCAGGAGGTGGTGGTGGACTATGTATGGGTGGGATATAAGGAATCTCTGTGTTCAGCTCTTGGCTGCGCTCTAGTCCCGATACTTTTGGGTGGCAGGGAGCCTGAGATTCAGCCTTCTCATTCAAAAGTGTACCTAGATTGATTGAGAAAACATAACTATTATTTCTAAAGGTACTTAACTGCAACAGAAGTATGGTAAAAGGTCAAGTTATAGGGGCAGTTTCAATGTCAATGTATTAAGCAATTGCATTACACAGCCCAGATGTGTTTCCACATGCGTGTTTTTGAGGCATTTTTGGCATGTTCTGGTTCATTCCCCCTCCCCCCCCCCCCAATGTAAATAGGGACATGTGCGTTCCAGTGCATTCCAGTGTGCTTTACCGTATTCTAGTACAGTCCTGTGCAGGAAAAATGCAGCCTGTTCTACTTTTTTTCTGCAACTGAAATGCACTGGAACTGCAAGAACTGATGTGAACTATGACATTGATAACCATTTAACCTACTTTCTGTGCGTTTTGGATGCAGAAAAGAAAAGTGCCCTGAAATGCATGTAGTGCGAACAGGCCCTAAGGGACAGTTCACACCACATGCAGTTCAGTACGTTTTTATTTCTGCATCAAAAATGCATGCACGAGGATTTCCATGTATTCCAATGGCCCTAGTTTGCACCAGTGCAGTCAGTCCCAGTGCAGTTCTGAAGCAGGGAAGAAAAAAGAAGAAAAAAACCCCCAAAAAGCAAAGAAGTAGAACATGCTGGATTTTTTCCCGCACAAAACTGTACTGGAACACAGAAATATGTATCAAAAATGCACCAGAATGGAGTGCGGTGTGAACTGTAAGCAAAAAATCATCCGGAATGCATCCAGAGTGCGTTTTCAATCACATGGATCAACACAACCTACTATTAACAGCTTCAGGTTTATGTTTGCAGTATAGATGTTTTGGTGGTAGGCTGCTTTGACGTGTTCAGTCATTTTTTTGCAACTGCTGGAAAATAGTCTATTGCCTGCATAAAAAAAATAATTTAAACCACCTGCTGAACGCAAAACACATGAGCAGAGAAAAGAAAGGTGGGCTATAAATGCCCAGCCATCATATGCTTTCAAGGCGGCACAAGGTTGTGTGCCGCCAGCCTGCTTCCAGCACACTGAGCTGTTACTGACAGCTTTCAGTCAAAGCTTCCGATTGGGAGCCAGCAGGTGGGCACTTGATCATGTGACTGCTGTGAGCACCAATCACAGTGGTCACATGATACAGAAGCCATGCTGCCTCCAGGACATTAAAGCCAACTTAAAAGGCTGCCAGGAGGTATCGTTAAGGGGTTAAAGTTCAGACAATATTCTTTGCAAATGAAACCATGCACAACCCCCAATTCATTCTTTCAAAAAAGCTGTATAAAAAAGAAGGTAAAATGAATTAAAATTTATTTATTCAATCAAGCAGTGAAAACAGTGTAAAAAGGATACTGAAGATTTATTCATTCACAGTGATCTATTTCTTTATGGCAAAACATGTTCTCTATAGGTTACCACACCAACTAGAATAATTATTTTGCAAAATAAAAAAACTGAATTTCTAGGAAAATGTACAAATAGCTCAACCTGAAAAGTAGATTCCCCTGACAAACTGTCTGTCACAATATGGAGAAAAAAAAAAAACCTTAGAAGCTGCTACTATCAATTTCTCCTCTTGACAGTATCTTGATTGTCAAGAGAAGTGAAACTGACATTTGCCAGGTTTAATAAACTGCACGGACCCAATAATATTAGCAGAAAGACAGCTGTTGTAGGTTTAGTACAGCCTCTCAACATTTTTACACTAGAGGAACCCTTAATATAATTTTAAGGACTCACGGAACCCCTGCTAAATCAAATCATCAGGGATCAGTGGGAAAAATGTTGCTTACATTTGAGGTCAGTGGAACAAATGCCTACCTTACAGTAGTGGGCAAAATGCCATTCTTAGAGGCAGCAAACTAATAATCATTGTTGATAATGATCATTGGTGTCATGCTGATGGTCCAACCAACTAGGAGGCCAATCGGAGACTGCTCAAGGAACCCCTTAGCAACTTTGGAAGTGCCCCCTAGGGTTCCACCAATCCCTGATTGAGAATGGTTTGTTTTATGCATGAAGTTCAAGAGATAAGAATTACTACTACTATGGTAACTAAAGCAATAAGAATGGCTATTTCAATAAAGGAAACTACTGTGTGGTCTGGTGATGATTTAATGTGCATAATAGTCTGCAAATAAAACTCAAACATAGATGCCAAGGAATTGGATAAAGTCATATTACCCTTAAACTCACACAGCCAATACCTTCCTTTTATAAAAAATAAAGACCACTGAGCAGAAATTTAACTGCAAATGAAGGCCAATAAAATTAAGACAACTAGTCTATGATGTGGGGCATAATCTGGGAAAAGGAAACAAACAGAAAAAACACAGGAGGAGTTTCATAACCATATAAACAAAGCTAAATTAATGGGTGACCTCCATTATTCCAATTTTTAAAGAAACAGTTTGTACCAATTTAGAATACAAGTATAATAGTTTATGTCCAGATTCTTCATGGAACATATGAACAGGTTTCAAAGTGAGTGATGATATCACTGCTCTCCAAATACATCCGTGTCATAGGACAGACCTCACCAAATAGTCACTGAAAAAGGAGGATTTATTATAAACTTAAAAGGCTAAGTTCACGTCTAGGGAGAAAAAAAATATACAAGAACATTTTTGCAGGTAAAAGAAATGTGCATCTATTATTCTTTTATAGAAGAGACTGCAAAGTATTGTACCTGCAATTGGTAGATCACAGGTCAAAAGTCAAGCTCCTGCATACACTTCCTGCAGCTCTCTGGCCATACCTCTGTACAGGCTTTCAGTTACTGAGCTGCAGGAAGCGCCAAGTGCTACAAGTGCTCTGATCAGCGCACTCCTGGTTCATTGAGAACTACAAGCCATCTGCCGCAGTGGAAGACGGGACTTGTAGTTTATTCATTCACAGATCTCTAAAGGGATTAGTTTATTCATTCACAGATCTCTGATGGAGTCCCACACGGTCTTTAAAAGTGCCAAATGCTGCAGGGGAGAGGACCAGATATGAGTGTAACATGTAGCTAAAGGAGGAGCTTTTAAATCCATCTACATCACTTTTTCTATACAAGCAGTCCCCAAGTTACATACGACTCACACTTACAAATGGGAGACAACAGGAAGTGAGAGGAAATCTACCCTTAGGAAGAGAAATTATCTTATAACCGTAATCGTGGGAAAAAGTTGTCTCCACTTAAGCTTTATCACCAATCCTGGTTTCCACAACAACCCAAAATTGTCAAAATCCAAATTGTCACAGGGACAGAAAGGAAGGCGAAATCTTCTCAATGGGGCACAGGCAACAAAACAAACATTACAGGGGTGTTAACCCTTTTCTATGCTATCCAAAAAACTGGGCTGGAGTTACACTTAACTTAAGAACAAACTTACAGAATCTACAGTTGAAAACAAGACAGGTGGATGTAAACAGAGGTGAAATTCATATATGTGAAGTAAATAAGAAACATAAGGATTTGTAAATCTGCTCAGCCAGTCTCATGATTCAAAATGTCTATTCTACAGGTGAAACTCGAAAAATTAGATCATCGTGCAAAAGTTCATTTATTTCAGTAATGCAACTTAAAAGGTGAAACTAATATATGAGATAGACTCATTACATGCAAAGCAAGATAGTTCAAGCCGTGATTTGTCATAATTGTGATGATTATGGCTTACAGCTCATGAAAACCCCAAATCCACAATCTCAGAAAATTAGAATATTACATGCAATCAATAAAACAAGGATTGTACATAGAACAATATCGGACCTCTGAAAAGTATAAGCATGCATATGTACTCAGTACTTTATTTGGGCCCCTTTTGCAGCAATTATTGCCTCAATGCGGTGTGGCATGGAAGCTATCAGCCTGTGGCACTGCTGAGGTGTTATGGAAGACCAGGATGCTTCAATAGCGGCCTTCAGCTCTTCTGCATCGTTCGGTCTCATGTCTCTCATCTTTCTCTTGGCAATGCCCCATAGATTCTCTATGGGGTTCAGGTCAGGCGAATTTGCTGGCCAATCAAGCACAGTGATCCCACGGTCATTGAACCAGGTTTTGGTGCTTTTGGCAGTGTGGGCAGGTGCCAAGTCCTGCTGGAAAATGAAGTCAGCATCCCCCATAAAGCTTGTCTGCGGAAGGAAGCATGAAGTGCTCCAAAATCTCCTGGTAGACGGCTGCGTTGACCCTGAACTTAATGAAGCACAGTGGACCAACACCAGCAGATGGCTCCCCAAATCAACACAGACTGTGGAAACTTCACACTGGACTTCAAGCATCTTGCAGTGTGTGCCTCTCCATTCTTCCTCCATACTCTGGGTCCTTGGTTTCCAAATGAGATGCAAAAGTTGCTCTCATCAGAAAAGAGGACTTTGGACCACTGAGCAACAGACCAAGTTTGTTTTTCTTTAGCCCAGGTAAGACGTTGTTTGTTGTTCAGGAGCGACTTGACAAGAGGAATACGACATTTGAAGCCCATGTCCAGGATCCGTCTGTGTGTGGTGGCTCTTGATGCACTGACTCCAGCCTCAGTCCACTCGTGAAAGTCCCCAACACTTTTGAATGGCCTTTTCCTGACAATCCTCTCCAGGCTGCGGTCATCCCTGCTGCTTGTGCACCTTTTTCTTCCACACTTTTCCCTTCCACATAACTTTCTATTAATGTGCTTTGATACAGCACTTTGGGAACATCCAACTTCTTTTGCAATTACCTTTTGAGGCTTTCCCTCCTTATGGAGGGTGTCAATGATGGCTTTCTGCACAACTGTCAGGTCAGCAGTCTTTCCCATGATTGTGATTCCTACTGAACCAGACTGAGAGACCATTTAAAGGCTCAGGAACCCTTTGCAGGTGTTATGGCTTAATTAGCTGATTAGAGTGGGACACTTTGACCCTAGAATATTGCACCTTTTCACAATATTCTAATTTTCTGAGATTGTGGATTTGGGGTTTTCATGAGCTGTAAGCCATAATCATCACAATTATGACAAATCACATCTTGAACTATCTTGCTTTGCATGGAATGAGTCTATCTA